GGCCAATGCCTGGCACATCATCAGCACTAACTTTTATACTTTACTATTTTTATCTTATTATCAGCATAGCTACAAAATAGTAGGTTTTTAATGTATGCTACAGTTGTATAAAATAATCATATAAACATTCCCAAACAAAAGCATTCCCACTGCTAAGGGGGAAATATACGGGTTGTTTCCTCTCTTGTAATTAGCCCAGACTTGTGTTTGATATCTGGTGAATTATTGGAATGTATTTTTTACATCTACACCAACAAATATTGTTTTAAAAATGCTTCAGTAGCAAAAGCACAAATATACATGTCACCTATTTCACTATCTTCATCTTTTCTCAAGGAAACCTCACTGTGTTTTTATTTGAATTCAAACATCAGGAAAACGGTTACAGCAACACTTGCCAGTGCATCCTTATTTTTGTAAGGCAGCGGTCTACCTATTTTTCCCTGTATAAGAAGAAAAAGTATTATATAAAACTAATACATCAAGACTATGTGGGGTGGATCCCAAGAATGCAAGGCTGGTTCAACATTTGAAAATCAATCAGTATAGGGGTACCTAGCTGGCTCAGATGGTAAAGCATGTGACTCTTGATCTTGGGATCTTGAGTTCGAGCCCCATGTTGGGTGTGCAGCCTACTTAAAAAGAAAAAGGAAAAAAATCAGTCAATATAATTCATCTTATTAAGAGATTAAAAAATAATCATGTAATCATCTCTATAGAAGCTGAAAAGCTTTTTATACAACTCAGGATCCATTCATGATTAAGAAAAAAAATCTCGGGGAGTCTGGGTGACATGGTTGTTGAAACCAACTCTTGATTTCAGCTCAGGTCGTGATCTCAGGGTCGTGAGATCCAGACCAGCATAGGGCTCCACACTTGATGGGGGGTCTGCTTAGTATTCTCTCCTTCTCCCTCTCCCTCTGCTCCTCCCCCCTGCCACTGCCCCGCTCACGCTCTTTCTCTTTCACTATTTCTCTCAAATACATAATTAAATAAATAAACTTAAAAAAAAAAACAATCTCAGCAAACTAGAAATAGGAAGATGCTTTTTTTTTTTTAAGATCTTATTTATTTATTTGGGGGGGAACACAAGCAGGGGGAGTGGGAGAAGGAGAAGCAGGCTCCCCGCTGAGCAGGGAGCCTGACATGGGGCTGGATCCCAGGACCCGGGTTCGTGACCTGAGCCAAAGGCAAATGCTTAACCAACTGAGCCACCCAGGCGCCCCAGGAAGAATCTTCCTTAATCAAATAAAGGGCATTTATGAAACCCAACAGCTAACATAATACTTAATGGTGAATAACCAAATGCTTTCCACCTGACATGAGGAACAATGCAAGGATATCTACTCTCCCACTCCGATTTAACGTCATACTAAAGGTCCTAGCCAGTGACTTAAAGCAAGAGGAAAAGAAAAAAACAATAAAAGGCATTTGGATTGGAAAAAAAGAAATAGAATTTTTTATTTGTAAATGATGTAATTGTCTATGTAGAAAATCTACCAAAAAAGTTCCTAAAATTAAATGAGCTTAAATAAGTTCACAGGATATACACAAGGTCAATATACAAAAATCAATTGTTTATTTATATTCGAGCAATGAACAATTGGATTTTTTTCCTTAATTTCAAAGTACCATTTACAATAACATCAAAACAACAGGATCTCTCTTTTTTTTTCTCTCTCTGTCAAATAAATAAAATCTTTAAAAAGGGGGGGGGAGGCGCCTGGGTGGCTCAGTCGGTTAAGTGTCTGCCTTCGGCTCAGGTCAGGGGGGGGGGGTCCTGCGATCAAGCCCCGCATCGGGCTCCCTGCTCAGCGGGGAGCGGGCTTCTCCCTCTCCCACTCCCCCTGCTTGTGTTCCCTCTCTCGCTGTGTCTCTCTCTGTCAAATAAATAAATAAAATCTTTAAAAAAAACAACAACAACAGGAAATACTTAGGTATAAATCCAACTAAATATGTGCAGGGTCTATAAGCTGAAACTACAAAACACTGATTAAAAAACATTAAAGACCTAAATACATGGATCGAGAAATGATTTTCCTGGGTCAGAAATTTCAATATTGTGATGTCAGTTCTCCCCAGACCAACCTATAGATTTGAGGCAATCACAATTAAAATTTCAGAAGGATTTTTCTTGTGGATAACCACAAACTGACTTAAAAATTTATACAGAAAAGCAAAGGAACTAGAAGAGCCGAAATGATTTGGAAAAGGAGAATACAGTTGGAGGACTCGCATTACGGGACTTCAAAATTGACCAGAAAGTGATGAAGGTTAAGAGAGTGTGGTACTGGGGAAAGGAGGGACACAGATTAATGAAACAGAACAAAGAGCCCATAAATAGACCCACACAGTTTACGGTTAGTTGATTTTTGACAAACATGTATAGGTAATTCAATGGAAAATGTTTAGTCTTTTCTACAAAAGGTGCAGGAATGATCGGACATCCATATGCAACAAAACCCAAAAAAACTCAACCCATATTCACACCGTAATTAAAAAATTAACTCAAAATGGACTTTAGATCTAAATGTACAACCCAAAACTATAAAATCTCTAAAAGAAAACATGGGAGAAAATCTTTGTGACCTTGAGTTAGGCAAATATTTCTTAGATATGACATAATTCCTAAAAGATAAAAATGGTAAAATAAACTTCATCCGAGTGTAGAACTTCTGTCTCGTTAAAGACATTGTTTAGAGAATTAAGAAACCACAGACTGTGGGAAACTATTTGCAAATCAAATATTTGACAAAGGGCTTTTATCCAGAATATATAAAGAAGTCTAAAAACTCAGTAATAAAAATATGCAAAAGATTTAACAGCCACTTAGCCAAATAAGATGTATGGGTGGCAAATAAGCACATGAAGAGATGCTCAACATCATTTGTCATTAGGAAAACTCATATTAAAAACCGTAATGAGATACCATGTCACAACTCTTATAATTAAAATAAAAAATAAGACAATACCAAGTACTGGAGAAGACGCTAAAGAACTAGAACTCTCATACATTGCTAGTGGGAATGCAAAATGAGACAGACACTTGGGGACACAGTTTGGCAGTTTCATATAAAGTTGAACGTACACTTATGATATTGCCCAGCCATCCCACTCCTGGGTATTTATCCAAGAGAAGAAAAGAATGCTTTTCACTCAAAAAGCTGCAGAAAATGTTTATAGTGGTTTTACTTGTAATCATTAAAAACTGGAAGAATCCAAATATCCTACCTGGAGAATGGATAAATAAACTGTGGTATATTCATACAAGGGAATACTACTCACTAATAAAAATGAACAAATCACTAATATAGAAGAATCTAAAATGCATTATGGTAAGTAAAAAAAATCAAGATCGAAAGGCTCTCTACCCTGCGATCAGTTCTATTTATATGACCAAAGGCAACATTATAGGATCAGAAAGTGGATCCTGGTTGCCAAGGGGTGGGTGATGCGAGGAGTTGATTACAAATGAGCAGCACAGGGAAAACTTTTTGGGCAACAGAGTTATTCTTGTATCTTGACGGTGTTAGTGATTATAAAACTGTTTGCATATAGAACCATACACAAAGAGTGAATTTTATTGTATGTCAATTTCTAGAAAGTAAATGAAGTGAAAGTGAAACAAACAGAAGGTGCTATTCTGAGTTCCTTTTAACATTTCTGAGATTCAGACGTGCTGCTGGTACTACAAGTCTCCTTAGCAGGAGACAAATTATTCATAGGAAGGAAAATATATTTGCTTTTCAAAATGGGCAGAGGAGGAGGAAGAGAGAAGCCTATGAGTACCAAGTAAACACGGTAAATACTTTATTAGTTTGGGCTCTTAAACTGTCAGTCTTCATATGCATGCTTTTCCATAAATAGGCATGCAATCTTTTATCCTTTAGATTGTAGCTTTTTAATGACCCACATCCTTTTCAATTTGTTTTTCAAGGATCAAGGCTCACAAATATTGTCTATGATAGATAACGTCTCATCTGGGGTGTATGGTCTCATACTTTTTCAGGCATCATGCATATTTTAATACTTTACCATCTAGTGAAGTTACCCATCTGCTGACTCCTGATTTTTTAATGACAGGAAGGCTTGCATTGCGCACACCCTTCAGACTTTCTGAAATGTCATTTAATATTATCCTACATATTACTCAGCTGTCTACATGAGGACAGTGGGATAGAAGAATTTAATTTTCAGGTCAGGTTTCATAAGATTCTGGACCCAAATCTTTTTAAGAAAGTCCACTTCTGCTGTAATTGGATCAACTATATATCATCCTCTTGCCCTTCATAATCCAATCAATTAGTGGTCAGGTTTGTTAATCGGGGTCCATTAGCTCCTGTAAAACATGCTAAATGATTTCATTCTATTATGAGGAAAAATACATAAGTATCTGGAGGCTAACAATATTAGGAATATAATTTAAAACTGTAATTGGGTGGTCACAAAATAAATTCAGATTAGAACTTAAAAGGAAATTCTTGGAAAATATTTTTTCATTGGATTAAAGTTATAATGTCATCAAGACCAGTCAGTGGATACTGGATGTTTCATATTAACATAGTGGGTGGATGTTTGTTCAAGACTCTGGAGTGATATTCAAAATTGTTTGTACCCATTATCATTAAAATATTACTGGACCAACTGTCCTAGAATAAACTGAGTTAGATCTATCATTTCTTTTCTTTCGCTTCTTAAGAGAAAATAGGCTGAAAAAAATAGATCACAAATCAGTGGTGTTTGTTGCTGAGACTCTTCACTGGGAGGCAGATACATGGCAATTTTGGAAATCCCAGGTAGGATGGCTGTGTGGGCCTGGGCAAGATCAGAGGCCAGACTGGCTCAGCCTGCATCCTGAGAAGGGTAGCGAGCCACAGGTAAGGTCATAAGATCTAAAACGGATGGATTTCCCTTTTTAAAGAAAACACTTGATTAGTAAATTAACATAAACTTGAAGATTCCAAAGTCTAATACACTGACTTTTCAGAATAAAATTACAGTACGCTGATTTGGTGCAGGAATGGACAGACCACAAATTACGCTGGAATCCTGATGAATACGGTGGAATTCGTTCAGTTAAAGTTCCATCGGAATCTCTCTGGCTTCCCGACATAGTTCTCTTTGAAAAGTAAGTATCCCGGAAGAAATATACCCTGGTCAGGTTAGGACCAGCGATGGAAAAGCCTGACTTTGGCAAAAGAATTAAGAGAAATGTACAACTTTGAGTAAGAGGAGAACCGTTTCTTTCTGAAATAATGTTTGACTCTGTGGTAGGAAAGTAATAAAAGGCAAACAGTAGAGGGAGGGGTGGGCAAAGACCCCAGTCATCAGTGTTCGACTCTTTTACCGCAGTGCTGATGGCCGTTTCGAAGGCTCCCTCATGACCAAAGTCATCGTGAGATCCAACGGCACCGTCATTTGGACGCCCCCCGCCAGCTACAAAAGCTCGTGCACCATGGACGTCACGTTTTTCCCATTCGACCGGCAGAACTGCTCCATGAAGTTCGGGTCATGGACTTACGATGGAACCATGGTTGACCTCGTTCTGATCAATGAAAATGTTGACAGGAAGGACTTCTTCGATAACGGAGAATGGGAGATACTCAATGCAAAAGGGATGAAGGGCAACAGGAGAGACGGTGTCTACTCCTACCCGTTCATCACGTACTCGTTTGTCCTGCGCCGCCTGCCCCTCTTCTACAGCCTCTTCCTGATCATCCCCTGCCTAGGGCTGTCTTTCCTGACAGTGCTTGTGTTCTATCTCCCTTCCGACGAAGGGGAAAAGCTGTCCCTGTCCACCTCGGTGCTGGTTTCCCTGACCGTGTTTCTCTTAGTCATTGAGGAAATAATCCCCTCTTCCTCCAAAGTCATTCCTCTCATTGGGGAGTACCTGTTGTTCATTATGATTTTCGTGACCCTGTCGATTATTGTGACAGTTTTCGTGATTAACGTTCACCACAGGTCCTCTTCCACTTACCACCCCATGGCCCCCTGGGTGAAGAGACTCTTTCTGCAAAAGCTTCCTACATTGCTTTGTATGAAGGACCACGTGGATCGCTACTCTTTCCCAGATAACGATGAAAGTCAACCAGTAGTGAAAGGTAAAGCTCTAGAAAAAAGGAAACAAAGACAGGTGAATGATGGAGAAGCAGTTCTTGTTGCTTTCTTGGAAAAGGCAACTGATTCCATCAGATACATTTCAAGACACGTGAAAAAGCAGCATTTCATCAACCAAGTGAGTGCACTGGTGTTCATCCCAACACGTCCACCGAAGCATGCAAAAACCAATGTTCTCTTATCTCTTTACAGCAAAATGCTGTCACTGTTTAAATGTGACACTATTAGCTATCTGTTTTTCACGTGTAAAATGTTAAGCAAGCCCTGAGATGAGAAAGAATTTTAGTATGGATTTTTAGGAAGCAGTTCACAGAAACAGAAGGAGCAAAAGTGAAGCAAATGCAGACTAAGCACCATTCCTTATAACTAGACTTGATTCTATTTAAAATAATTTAATTCTACATTTTAAGTTGGTTATCCTGGTCTCTGGTAATGTATCTCTCATTTTTAGTGCAATGATGGTTATTTCTATCTGTAGTATTTGGAAATAAAAGAGCAGAATTAGATTTTGGGATTAATATAAAAATATAGTGTTCCAACAGATATTTTGGTGAGGGAAAAGGGCATAGTTTTTAGCTTACAGATTAAAAAAAAATGTGGCAAGAGTGTGGATTTCAGACCCAAGACAGTCATGGATTCAGATCGTACCTGCTGCTTAAAACAAGTTATAGGCCAATTTACAGCGTTCAATTACTCTACTCTAAAATCGGTGAAAATTAGTGGCAAGAGCCTGATCCCATAAACAAAATTATGAAAGAATTTTTTTTAAAGATTTTATTATTTTTGACAGAGAGAGAGCCTACAAGCAGGGGAAGCAGCAGACAAAGGGAGAGGGAGAAGCAGGCTCCCCGCCGAGCAGGGAGCCCGATGCGAGGCTCAGTCCCAGGACCCTGGGATCATGACCTGAGCCGAAGGCAGACGCTTAACCGTCTGAGCCACCCAGGCACTCCTATGAAAGAATTTTTAATTAATTAATTAATTTAATTTAATTAGCTGACATAGAGTACATCATTAGTTTCAGAGGTAGTGTTCAATAATTCATCAGTTGCATATAACACCCAGTGCTCATCACATCATATGCTGAAAGAATTTTTTTAAAAGAAATATCCTTCTATATTTTATCTAGACACTACTTAGTATATTCTCTCTTACTATTTGTTGTGTTTTTCATCCACTGAAAAACATTTTTAAAGCATTAGGGAAAATACTGCTATAGAACAAACATTTCGGCTCTTCTTAAGGCTGTTTGTTGTTGTTTCTTTACATCCTTTAAAAATTCTAATTCAAAGATTCAGAGAGCCTTTTAAAAAATTATAAAAGTAACACCTTATCAGGGTAAAGAATTTGGAAAATACAAAAAGTATAAACAAGAAAATTAAAATCATTAATAATCCCACTACTTAAGGTTGGCACTTTAAACATTTCAATGTGTCTTCTTTGTGTTCTTCCCCCAAAGTTTTACTCCTAAACCTCTGTGTGTGCAGAATGCATTCAGGTTCCACATCAATACCTGTGTCCCCTCTAGAACTCCTGTTAGGTTCCATCTTTATAAAACCCCCATATAATAGAAACAGGACATTTCTTTTCCTTCGGAAGAGAACTGACCCCTGTCCTTCACACCTCTCACCTTGTTCCTGCTCTGACCTTGTTCTTATAGTGTATTGCCCACTGTGCCTCAACTTCCCTTCCTCCAAAGGGACTCAGTCTCCCCTCTCCCTTACGGATTGCTGTCCTGACCTGATCACTTCTCCTCCCTGGCAGTTTCCCGGCATTCCAGAGATGTAGCAGCCAAACCCACATGCAGAGTGGAAGATGAGAAGGCTTGTTATATTGGGCCATGAAAATGCTTAATTTATAAGTTTGTGATTCATTTCTTATGTAGTATCAGGAAGATCATAGTAACAGATACTGGCTTTTTATGTGTGTAAAAATCAGGTTTTTCCCATTTTGATCAGTATTGTTTACAAATACATACATGATTCTGTTGTTTCTATTTCACATCTTCAATGTCGAAAGTGTTCACAGGCTAGTAAAGTCACGGGGAGAATCTGAGCCTACGCTGCAGGGGATGTGTTCGGTGCATTTTAAAAACTGAAGTGCTGTACATCTGAATATTACTCTTTTTCAGTCCCTTGAAATGAATTCAGAACAGTTGCCCTGCAGCTTGAATGGAAGGCATCTTTTTCTCTTTTGCAGGTGGTACAAGACTGGAAATTTGTAGCCCAAGTTCTGGACCGAATCTTTCTGTGGCTCTTTCTGATAGTGTCAGTTACAGGCTCTGTTCTGATTTTTACTCCTGCTTTGAAGATGTGGCTCCATAGTTCCCACTAGCAATCCAGAGCCATCTAAAATACCATAAAGACAAAATCACGCCTTAGAACTGACCTCCAGCTAGCATGTACATACAGTATCCAAATGCATGAGCTTCTTGGAAGGGCCTGTGTGGGACTCGGGGAAACTGAACATTGGCAAATGTGGGTTTGCCCACAGTAAATTCATGACTGTCACTGGAGCTCCTCAGGACCCTACCTTGGCCTCCCCAGATGTTCAAGGAGTCATAGGTTCCAGGCCTGACATCACAGCCAGGACGCACTAGGACTGTTGCTGGCTGCTGGACTGAGGCCCCCAGGAAGCTGGACTGAGGCCCCGCCGAGGATGCACACCAGGAATTCAAGACAGGCAATCTCCGAGTCAAGCGATTTGTGTGCTCAGACCTGGGCCTCCTGCGTCTACTGGTGTCCTTGGTGGTTTGGCCTGAGTTTGCAGACTGGTGCTGTGTGTCGTGCCGCTGGACAATGTGCTTGAACAAATCTCAGCAACCATTTGGGGAATTGCCCTGGTTGGACAGATCTGGCACAGCACGCTTGTTTTCACGAAGATTCCAAGATGCCTGGTAACTGAAGTCCCTCCCCTTTCCCCCCACAAATGTGGTATTTCTTGAAAATAGTCTCTCTTGAATGTGGTGACCTCTCAGGCAGGTGGTATTCATGGATTATTCATAACATTATAAAGGTTTTCTGATGCTGAAACTAGAACCTACTGTGAGTTGTGACTTGTTTAAAAGGCCATATCAAAATAATTGACAATAGAAACAATGTCATCTATTACTGGGAGTGCAGTCATTAATACCCATCATCTTTTCCTAGAAAATACAAGTACCCAACATTCTCTGATGATGGCTTTTTATGTCCCCACATCCAATCGAATCCACTTCAACAGTACTCTCAAGGCTTTCCATTCTGTTTCTTTTCTTTCTTCTTCTGTCCACAATCACATTATAAACAAGTAATTGTTTTATTCATTTCTTGGTTTACCACCTTTTTTCTCCTATTTTCCTTTCCCTGATTCATTTCATTATCTCAGAGGAATACATCTCCAAGCAATTCTTATAGAAAGTTTTGAGTGGACAGTGTATGTTAATTAAAAAATTAAAATAAATAAATAAATAAAAATAAAAAATAAGCAAAAAGAAGTTTTGAGTGGGGTTACCTTTCTGAATCCTTGCTTTTCTGAAACTGGATTGGTTGGCCCTCATAGGATAGGTTGGCTGGCATAGGATAGGTAGTGTGGAATTTTGAATTCAAAATCATTTTCCCTCAGAATTGTGAAGATAGTATTCTACAATTTCCCATGATCTTTTTTTTTTCTTTTCAATTTCCCATGTTCTAGGTGAGAAGTATGGTGAGGATTGATTCTTATTCCTTATTCCTATAGATTCCTATAGATTTTTCCCTTTATGAAACTCTTGGACTTTTCTTTTTATCTTTGGGCTTTATAAATGTCACCTGAATATGCTGTAGGTGTCTAAATGTAGGGCTTGTTCTCTCTCTCTTTCTCCCTCTCTGTTTTTATCTTGGCACTTGATAATTAATGTCTTTCTTCAACTCATGCAAATTTTCTTCTCTTATCTCTTTTATTATTTCCTATCCTCCATTCTCCCCCTCCTTTCTTTTTAAAACTTCTAGAAGGATCTAGCATTCCTGGATCTGTCTTCCATGTTTATCAACTTATTAACTCTTCTTTCATACTTTTTATTTCTTTAATTATTTACGTTTTCAGCTTGATAATACCGCTAACTAATTTGATATTCAGTCTTTGTCTATGCAGCCCACCTACTGAGGTGAGGTTTTATTTGTTTGTGAAAAAATCATGTATTTGATTTCCAAGAACTCAGTTCTTCTTTTTGGATGTCAGATGCTCTGCAATAACTTGGAGGAATACTAATTGTGGATGTTTTTAAGTCTCCTTCTTCTGTTATCTGCATTAATTTTTCTTCAGCGGTTAATTCTTCTACTGATTTTTAAAATGCCTTTTGTGGTAGTTTTACTCCAGTGTTTGTTGATTTTTGATATTGTTTCTTTACCTGACAGTGGAAATCATTTCTAATTACAGGACACCAGGCTCCAGGTGCTTTCCTTTACTGTCTGTGTCCAAGAAAACATTTCTCTAGGGTGTGTGACTAGCTCATCTTCTACATTCAAGGAACCCCTTTCTTCTTGGCAGCCATAAATAATCTGGGGGCACTAAATTGTTTCTCTGACTCCAAAGCCCACTCTGGTTTCTCCTGTGTCAGAGTGCCCACCAGCTGGGACAGACCACGGAAGCCACAATGAAAAGTGGAATTATATCTTAAGTCTCCCCTGTGTCTAATCTTAGAATTATTGTGGGGTTTTGTTAGAAAGAAAATAATTTCTTTGGTGGTCCCATCTTTCCTTCATGGGACCAAAATTCCACTGTTCTATTAGGTTTTATCATAAATCTGACCTCCTGTCCTACATATTTCAGCCATTCCCCACCAATCTGGTCTATGAAGGTAGCTCAGCCAACTTTCCAGGGCTATTATGGATGTATTCATTTTATATTTCTTTTGATCTATCAATAGGATTTGGAGGACAAAAAAAAAAAAAAAAGAAACACATCAGCCAGCCATTTTATACTGATCTTTTCTAAATCTCAATCCTTATGGAAATTGTATATAGAAACTAGGACACTGTAAAATCATTATACCATGAGAAGGTGTGGACCTATTTTTAAGGACTCTGATTAATCTTGACTTCACAGACTGGTGGATGCTGGGCATGATGGGGACTGGAAAGATGATTCTGTTGGAAATAAAATTATCAATAGTAAAATATTAATTATTGACCCCCAAAAAGTGAAGCATTTCTTGAAGTTAATGATACACATATGTTGTTAGATTTGGCAGGAAGACTGATAGGAATCTTCACACCTGGCTGTCTACAGTGTCCTGGACATCTGCACTGGTTT